GAGGGGATTAATTCCTGGTAAACAACCTCAGAGCATTTGTATGCATTCTTGTGAAGGGTAGGGCAGCATTGTATTGCCTTAGCTCAGCCATCTTTATCTGCAGTTGTCATATCCCAGGGGACAGTATCAACTACTGATCCCTCCTAGGACACACACAAAGTTTTAAGACAGCTATTGAGTGGTACCTTAGCAGCAAACCCCAGCAACTCAGCTCTCTGTCGGTAACACCCTACTGAAACTACAGTAGGTGCTCTCTTCTTCCTCACCCCGCTCCACAGAAGATTCAGGAAATTTTTTTTTCTGGGAACACGCAAACTTTCTAAAAAGGTAGCTGGTGGATTCTTTAAATATATTGCTTTAATTCTGAGCTATGTAATGAAAAAAACAAGGAAACAATGTGCCCAGTCCTACAAAGGATTGGCTCAGGCCAAAGCACAGTCTAACCGATCCCATCTACATCATAATAAAAATAATAGAATTCTAACTTGATGGCAAAAATCCGAAACTGTGAAGATGATGCCAAAGAGGATGTTCTAACATCAGGTCAGCTCATGGTCGCTGGTCAGGATCTCCTCCATCAAGCCTACTCTTTACAGCCTCGCTGGCAGGCAGAGAAGCCCAGTGCCTTTCAGACTGGGAGCCGCATCCCAGGGAAGAGTTTGCTAGCCAGATAGCCTTTGCCCGTGACCAATCCCTGCAGTTTTCACGCAGTGAGAACACAGAATGAAACATAAGCAGAGTTTTGACTGTGTGTCCTTGCCAGGTTCTGCTCAGGTGTTACCCTAGACTTCAGCCAAAGCAATCTGCTAGACCTTTTTTTTCAGTTTTATTAATGTACAATGCTGTAACAGAAGATGTTAAAGGAACTTACCCTTTTCCTGTGGGGACTGATTTCTAGCTTCATCACTGCACATTTGTTTAAAGTATTTAAGCGCCTGCAAAGCAAAGGAAACCATATTAAGACTCCAGTGTTTTGACACAGGCTATTCCAGTTCAAAAGATTTTGTGAAGGCTGTCCCCAAACTGCTTTGCATACAAATAGCCACAAGCAGAGTTTCAATTAGAGCCCTAATTATACTTAACCATTAACCCATTACATTTGGTTGTATTCTAACTTCAGAGGGAGAGATGGATGACTATTTGTCACAATTACCTGAATCAAAGTAAAGAGAAGTGAACTGAAACTTAGTCTAAGTTAAGAAGTGCTTTATATCAAATGAATTGTACATATTACATTTGTTTAAATAGCAGACTTCAGAACCCTGAAACAACCGATCTCAACAGATTGAAAATAACGGAAAAGGCTTCTTACTTGACACGGTGTACCTCTGCCTGTGTGAAAAAAGCGTGCTGCTTTAAAATTGTACTTTATAAGCTAAAATCTCCCAGAGAAAAACTTATTTTCCACTTATTAGGTGTCTACTTTGTTTGCGAACAATGATTATTTTCAATACAGTCCTAAGACAAGAGAACTCACCAGTTAAAAAAAAAAAACAAAAACAAAACAAAACCACAGACCTGATTTTTTTTTCCTTCCTAAACTGACTTTTATACATAAAAATGTTGTTCCGAAGGACTGAAATTTAAACAGAAATTAAACCACTGCAGCAACAATAGTTAACTAGCCTCATGAGACTGTGCTGTGGGTTGGATGAAGAGACTACCCAAGCTGAAAACTGATCTTTCAATACTTAGTAGGGTTGCATTTCTCCCAGGTCAGGTCCCCAAGCTGTGTGAAGGGTAGTGTGTGCAGGAGGGCAGGCAGAGGAGCAGAGCCGCCCCTTTCCCTTGGCCGGACTGCAGCCCAAACTCAACAGGAGCAAAACTGAGCTTTAAAAAGCCCAATTCATTCTGAAGGAAGTTGTATAATTTTCACATAATTTGTTTGAGCAAAGTGTAAAGAAGAGCCTGTACCCATGGCTTTGGAAAACTGGAGGGAAAAAAAAAAGAAATGCTGACTTGTCCTGTTGATTCAGATGAGTCTTTTCAGATTCATGAAATTGTAACTTGAATCTAGAAAATGTGTGTGCAGGAAGAATTGCTAGTTTCCTCTCTTTCCCCTTGCCTTTTATGCACAGGATTGGTTGCAGATGGTATTTACGCAGGGCTTGATCCTGAGGCCATCAAAGAAAATGGAAAAGCTCCTACTGGTGCTTTTGCTGCAGTCATGAAGTGGAAAAAAAAGGCAGTTTGATCTATAATTAGATCCAGCCACAACACAGCAGAAAAGAAGAGAAACAGGAAGAATTGCCATGGGTCAAATAATAGGGCAGCGGCAGGTTAGGAAAGTTATCCAGATCTCTCTATTTTCATCTTTGCTCTGACTTTATAAGGCAGAAGGCTCAGTCCTGCCAGCTGTAGCTGGTGGGTACATGCACAAGTCCAGTGATTTTCAGAGGAATTGTATTTATGGCATCGGTGAAGGATGAATGTCCCATCTACGCGCTACACAACGAAACTGATATTTTGGTTTTTAAGAGGCCACACAGCAGCAGAAATCCGCCTCCATGTCGCTGCTATAACAACCTTCTCCTCTCAAACTCCTGGACCTCAAGACCAGGGAGTATTAAATTGGTTTCAGTTCTATATTATGTAATGATTTACCAATTTCACAGTGTTGCAACCTTTGACTTATGCAGAGAAAAGTTATCACCGAATCCCTGTATCAGGCTTTATCTAGCTCCAGCCTGTCTGAACGCTAATAAAGACAATCTCTGATTTCACAAAGATTACATCCCCAGACTTTTCTACTCAAATTAAACCCCTGAAATAGGTGGAAAAGGGTAGAGCGAAGACCTCTGTTTCCACAGAGGGTGTTTAAGAAAAAAAAAAATCTCCCGGCGCACACCTCACAAAAATGAGTGTGAAGGCAAGATAAGGTAACCCCCAATGAGCGAGGTTAAATACAATAGCAGCGAGGCAAATAAAGGCTCTGTTACACATTTGACATGATTTCATCGCAAAACTAGTTTCCCTTTTAAAACCTAAATGCTCTGCAGCGATTGCCTCAGGTCTGCAACTTTCATTAGATACATCACTCATCCTGCTTTAACTTCTGCTCAAGTTCAGCGGTGCCCAGTTCCTTGACCTATAGGACACTGAAAACACCGTATACACAGTACAATATGCAAACACATTACTGACCCTGCAAAGCTGAGCTTACACAGTTTAGGCTTTACCAGGATGAGACTTACCCATACAACTGTTTTGCAATGCTTTTTAGACATATAAGCACGCATTCATTTTCTACAGATCTTCTCACGAAATCGGTGCTTGTCAGTGAACAGCAATTTTGTGTGCTGGCACTGGACCTTCTCCTTCGGTAATTCCAGGTATAAATTTTACTTGTCATTTCCTTACTGACAGTCAGCAGGTCTGCTTCATTCTTTAGCTCCGTCTTATTCTGCCCTAACGCGTCTCAGCGACACCTTTGTGAGGACAAGGTGGGAGATGGAGGGACAGGGCAGGATTGCTGCAGACAGCAGTTACAGCCCCTTTCACTGTCTGGCTATCTCAGCCTCAATTTCGAGAATGCCTCCTACCCCAGCCGCTTTCTGGATGACAAGATAATATTCTTTCCCATCATTTAGGTAAATGCCTTTGAGTCAGCTCTCTCTCTGTACATCTTCACACCCAGATGGTATCTTACTGCTATGGAGCGTTATATCTCAAAGACGCCAACTTTCCTCACCCTCCATCTACCTCTATCCATACTCTCACCTTCCTTCACCCTGGCTCTACAAAACCCTTCTTCCTGAGAGTGACCAGTGCAACAGGACCTGCCCCTCTGTCCCAGCCCCCCAGTTGAGACTGGCCCGAATCAGCCCTGGGCGGCAATTACACTGGGAGCCTGAGCCTACCGCACCCAGAACATGGGGCGCTGGAGCTTCTCTCAGAAATGAGCAAGCCTATGCATTTTTCCTAGTCTTATCCTCAGAAATGGCCAAACTAGTTTAGCCTGAACTTCTTTTAAGAAAGGCTGCCTGAACAAGGTATTCACCATCGAAAATTGCAGTGTGAACGTCTAACTTCAGCTAATCTATAAATGAAAATATGGGCATATAACATGAAGTCTTTGATCTAGATAACAGCCAGTTCTACATCGGCCATAATCCCAGGTAATTCATTCTGCTGTGAGAGAATTCTCAGCCCATGCACTCAAGAAAAGTGGTAGCAATGCAGACTATTAGATATACGCATTTTCAATGAAATTTTTCTATCTGGGTAACTGTATGATCTAGCTTTAAAGTATTCTTAATTCCTTTTTACAGGGCAAATTCCAACTCCATTATACCTGTAACTAATTGATGACACAAGGGCTCTCTCGTCTCACTGCAGTGGACAGCCCCTATGCTGGCGCCTGGGGTTCACCTGCACGTTCTAACCCGCAAAGAAGGCCAACAACACACAAACCAAATGACGTGAGCCGCAAGTGCTTCTCCTGCAAATCCGTTACAATCAATTTCTTGGATGAGAAGTCCTGATGGTAAAAGATTTAAGAAACCTCTTGCGTATATAGCGTGGCAGGTTTCTAGCTATGCATAAGGAGATTAAATAGGATTTCCATCGTGGCTTGCCATGTATTCTGTACTTAGCAACCATCTTTAGGATATGCATGTTTCAGTACTCAGTTTCATCAGCATATGATGCAGCCAGTTATCCTCTGGAGATAAATTCCCAGTCGTTAATCTACATAAAGTCTTATAAAACCAAGGCCAGCGCTGCTTTATACAGACATTACATGTAGCATCCTAGCCAACTGGAGTCATCGCTCTTACATTTTTAACCCTACATTTCAGGAGAAGATCACTAAATGACATTTCTTAACCATCTACCTTGTACTGTTACCAAGTGCCATACGCTATCTCTGTAACTCAAGTCTTAATCCACTTTTCACTTAAACTTTTTTCCAGAAAAACCTTAATGGGGTGGCTATTGATACCTTTTCCATTTAGAAAGGAATTCGGCCAAATGTACTAATAAGCTGTTTTTAAAGTTACGTTGATTTTCCTGTTTACATTAATAAGATTATGGAACGACATTTACAGTACTATTGAGATGTAAACTGTCATTTAAAATGCTTCAAATTAAAACAAAAACAATCCCTGTCACTGTGATTTCTACAGTCTTCAATTTCTTCACATGCAGAAATTAGAACAAGGTGATTAGATCTGTTGGCAGGACACCAGTTGTTATACAGAAAAGCAGATTCTCAGCACAGACCACTCACTATTTTATTACCATCCACTGCGTAGAGTGTTCTTCTAGGTCTGTGCTGAAAATGCAAATAACTCCAAAACTATTCTAATTTTCAGTCAAGAAACAGTGATAGACTTCAGGATTGTGAAACAGCTCTAAGGCTTTTACTGAGTAAACCTCTTTACTGTTTACACACTGACCATGCCATGAGTCAAAATAAACTCAGGCTTCAAGCAGAAATGCAGCATTCCAAACGATGTGCCTTCTCCATGTTTTTTTAATGAGCTTTACAAAATTAAACAAGGAGATGTGGGAAAAAAAAATAGGGTGGACATGTTGTGATAATGTACTGCTTTTGTCTAACACAAATGGGAAAGGGTCAAATTTAGACATCTGAGATAATTACCTGAACTACTTCAGTTTTATGTCGATGTGGCATCTGAATGCTTCTGGAGAAACTTTAGCTTCAGTTTTAAAGTTATCTCATAAAAGATAACTCTGATATCAAAGCCTCAGGCTTCAAAATGATAGAGTTCAGCCTTTAAAATCTTTATTTCAAGCTTTACAGTAAGACTGCTGGATTCTTATGCATATTACACAGAAAACAATTTGACGATGAAAGTGAAGAGGTTATTTTACAATTAGCAGACTTATTAATGACTCCCTAGTCTCATTAAATATCTACACACCCATACCGTTTTGGTTTGTTCACCTTTATTAGAAGTCTCATAATATAAGCTTCCATTCTCAGGATACATACCATGTTACTGTCCTCTATGTTCAGAAAAAGTGCTAAATATTTTCATTGATCCCACTAGCAGCAAATCTCAAAGAGATATGAAGGGCATATTCTTACTTTCACCAGTGGGAAACAATCTGCTGCCCTTTTTTTTCCCCCATATAAATAAATAATCCCAGGTTAAAAAGTATTCTCACAGGCGAGCACTAGGTCCAAAATACGCTGGCTTGACTGTATGTTGTTTTCCTGGCAAGAGAAGACCATACTTCTGGGAACCAGCATTTATTCACATTGCTGTACTTTCTGTTCAATGACTTCACAAGTTCCAGAGCACACAAATAAGCGGAATGATGCATCACATTTTAATATTGATGGAATAGGTGCCCTACACTTGAGTAGAGTGACACAAATTCACATCTTGAGTGTGAATTTAACATTAATGAGATTTTTTTCCCTTCCTAATGACTGGACAACAAATCTGTTTTCTTAGTTTGACAAATCTTGTAAATATTTCTGAAGAACTTTAAAT